ATGGCAAAACATGCCCATCTAACTCTTCAGGTTTAAGAAGATTGAATAGGGGCATTTGTTGTACCCCAAAATTTTCCCTCTCACTTATCAAGAATTTTCTCACAAGATCTCCATTGACTCGGGACTGCATTAGGGTTTGATCAGCTCAAGACACCTCCTTAGGCACTGATGACCAAAATTAGGGTTTGAGTTTGCACAAGGATTTTTGAACTATCAATGCTTCATATGACTTTCATGGACAATTATGGCCCCCAATATTACTCATGACAAGTTTCAAGCCTTGGATCACACTTTTGATCAGTCAATTGAATAGTTGACCTAAAAATCAATTGTATTGGGGGAAAAGTCAACCATGGCCAGTTTACAGTCAAACCTCATAATTTTTTATCCACATAAACATTTTAAACCCATATGTATCATTTGATCAAGTTTGGATCACAATTCCTCAATATATTTGATCAAATCCCCAAAAGGGCCAAATGGTCAAAATTAGGGTTTTGATTGGGAAAGGGAAATTTCTAATTTTTGACCTAACAAATGGTCAATTGGTTTAATTTATGATCTCAAGGGTCCAATTTCATCATTTTGACCTAATGACATGGTTTCAAACATTGCAATTCCATTGGATTGACAGATGAATTTTGCAGTCAACTGATCAAAAGTCAATTGTACACTGAAAAGTCAAACTTTGACTTTTTGGTCAAATTCAAGTGTCAAAGATCATAATTCATCAAAACATGTCAAAATATGAAACTTATTCATCAATAAATCAAAAATTCAATATTTTATTTTGAAAAGTCAAAATTTCTAAACTTAGAAATTTTTCTAAGTGTTGGAAATTTCATGTTTTTTCATAACTTTGAGCCAAATTTTCACCATGATGCAAGATGATTCAAGAGAAACTTCCAACATGAAAGTTGTAGATCTCAATGAAATATACAAAGTTTCTTCACACAAATTCTCCCAAAAGTACTTGTATCTCAAGTTATAGTTTTATGAACATAGGGTCATGAAACTAAACACTTTGTGAAATTTTGCCCTAATTGGGTCAGGATTTTGACCAAACTTCACGGCACTTTTTCATATAGTTCCAAGGGGAATATTCATAAGAAATTAAAAGATGGGTTTTATAGAACACTACAAGCTTCCAAAATGTCAAAGAACTCCTTGAGATCATTCTTGAGTAGGGAGAATCGAATGGATGAAATTGGTGTTTTGTCACTTGAATTACAAGGCATTTTGTGATGAACAAGAATCCAATTTCAAACCTAGGCTGCACAATCTTGCTTTGAAGGCCTCCTAACTTGTGTATCTATCCATCATTAATGGATTACACAAAATTTTGAGCTTTAATCCAAGTGGTTTAAGCTTTATCCAATCCATATTTCCATTAATGACACAAAGTGAACACTTCCATTTTAGAAAAGCAAGCTTTTGTGTAAAGTCAATTCTTGAGCCTCTAACTTGTTCCCTCTGATCAAACTCCATCCACAAAGTCATAAGCAAGCTTGTTTAAAGCATAACCACTCTATCTTAGCAAGTACACAATGCTTGAAAACATGAAATTCTCAAAAAATCACATGTTATGCATAAACTTATGATTTTGAATTCTGATCAACAACAAGTCTCCAAACTTGTTGCTTATAAATAGAGGCACTATTTTTGAGCTAGAGGACGAGCTTGAGCACCCTGAAATATACCAAAACTCTCTCAAATAATAAATTTCCCAAAAACTCCATTGTTGCACAGTTTCTGACCTTGAACCTCAAACTCACATTTCCCTCGTGCATTTCTTGGCCTTTTAGTTTCTAAAGCTTCCTTGCATCAAGGGTAACTCATCCTTGTACCTATTTCACTTATGTAACACCATTTTCCCTGTCTTCCATAACCAAAAATAGAGCATCACAGTTGGACTTCTCCAGACCATTCCAGCCACCCTCGGCTCAAGCCAGCCATTGCATTAGCTTCCTAGAGGTTCGAGGAAGCTAACCTGATCATCAGCACTGCCTGAAACAAGCTCAAATCCATTTCACGATTTCCAGTTTTGAGGTATTTTTCTTGAACTTCTATCTCATTACTTAGGTATTGTTAGTCTTGCTTTTGTGAAGATAAAATGTAGACATCATTTCCCTGAAGTTGTACATGTCCACAAATTTCATTTATTTTGATTGAGCTTGGAGAATTTTGAGTTTGAACTTTCTGAAATATTTAGGTCAGAATTTGGTACTTTTAAAAATTATCATTCATCTTTGATTTATAGCTTATGATATTTATATGATTGGATTCGTGTTACAAAATGGAGCAATTTTCATGTTTACATTTTTGCAAATGGTTGAGAAATGAGCAAGTTACAAATCCTTTGGTTGGAGGTTGAAGATGAAGTACAGTCAGGGCGCGTTTTGTGTTATGTATTTATCATTTCATACAAGTTAACGGATGTATAGCCACCCCTGTGGTAAAGCGCGCGCCTGTTCAACCTTAGGTCCTGGGTTCAAACCCCAGTGTGACCTTTTGATATTTTTCATAATTTCCTGACTTCTTTTTTGTGTTTTTTGGCAGCGCTTAGGCTTTTCATGTGGGCCTGAGCATTTTTTCTCACCATACCTCTTGCCTTACTGATTAACCCCCCTGACTTTTTCTTTATATTTTTATTTTTATTTATTTTTCTTCATTATTATTATTACTATTATTATTAATATTAATAATTTTATTATTACTATTATTATTATTATTATTATTATTATTATAAAATTATAAAAAATCTAAATTTATTTTTATTTATTTTTTATACTCATGTATTTTATTTTCCATAAAACAAAAACATTTTTTTGAAAATAAGTTATTTTTATTTTCCATATTTTTAGACTTAGGATAAATTAATATTTTATTTTATTTTCTTAGTTAAAAGTAATTTAGAACTTAAGTTATTTTAATTAATTAATTTTTATTTTTATTTTCATTAATTTAAAACCTTTTCATATAAAACCAAATAAAATCCTTTCTTTTTTTTATTCATTACTTTATACATTATTCCTTTTCATATTTTGTACATTTATTTATTCAATTCAATAGTTGTAATAGATTAATTAGGCTTTAATTTCTTGCAATCCCCATTTATACTTTGTACACCCCCCCTTCCCACAAATCATGTAATAGCTTAGTATTTTTATTTTCCGCAATTTAAATGCTTTATATTCACATGCTAGTAATTAGGGTTTGTATGGAAAGAATAAAATCAATCAAATAGAAAACCCTAATTCAAGACAAAAACAAACATGAAAAAAATACACTTACACACAAGCACCCCTAGGGTAAAATCCACTTGGTTGCCTTACAAATTGGCCATATTACGCAAGTGAGGTATCTTAGCAAAAATAAACGAATACAAGATCTTAGTCCCTCGATGATGCTATCTAAGTTGCCTTACAAATGATCTTAGTCCCTAAAAGAGAATGCTAAGATGCCTTGCAACATTGCTAATCATGGTTATACGATGACCCACGCCCGTCCCGTTTACATCCAAAGATAGGGTTACTTACCAAATCAATGGTAAGATAACAATATCAAAGGAAAAGGAAATGCACAAGAAAGATCAACATCTTTGTATACATTCTTACGAACGAGAATCATTACAAAGATTGCCTAAACAATGGCCTCTTTACAAAATACTTTCAAAAACCACACAAAGCATAATTTTCAAACAAAAGCAAGTGATCTAGCAAGTAACTAAGAGCCCATGGAAAACCATGGATGAAAAGGGTGCTAATACCTTCCCTTTTCATAATCTACCCCGCGAACTCAAGAAATAATCTCAAAGGTCTTTCATGTGCTTTTTCACCTTTCCTTTTAGATATAAGAAAAGTCGGTGGCGACTCTTACTAACCGCAACATTTGCGATCAAATGCAAAACCTTCAAGTCAGTTCTCCCACCATATCACACCTACGTATCCCTTTTAAGGAATCAGAGCAGTGGTAGTTTGGCTTCAAAAGTTTTTGTTTGTTTGTATTTCTTAATGAACAATATTAATTTTGCCTTCTTCCGTAACTCTACCTTTGGAGACTTACGCGTTAGCACATAAGTGAATTAACATGTTCTTTTGAAAATGTTTTGAAATAAAAGCCCGAAGGTAAAAAGAGTTTGTGTTGGTTGGTGTTTTTGTTGCAGGTGACAGTTAATTGATCTCAAGAGAGAGATATTAGCCACTTCTCCACTTATTCATGAAATAAGTCTTTGAGATTTGAACCATACCAAGGCTTAGAATGGAAGGACAATAAGACCGAGAAGAAACCCGCTTATCATCTCCCATGCTCAACAAAGGTATGATTCTCATCGGTAACTTTTAAGTGTTTTTGATTTTTGCAAGAAAAAGAAGTTTTTATTTTAATGCAAATGAAAAAGGGAAAAGAAAAGTCTAAGGGGTGACTAACCTAAATCTATCCCTAATGTTATCATACAATGGTGGTCCTATGATTAAGTTTTGAAGGGAAATCCCTACCCTAAGTTGGCATATCTAATTCAATTTCAATTGATGGATTAAAATTGGACTAAAATCCTAAAGGAGCATAGAGGATTTAAGATAAGAACAAAATCACCCATAATTCGCATCAAGACAATTCCAAAGGTTGCAAAAGAATATACAATGTAAAAATGAATTAAAATTAGAGATTAAAATCACTTAAAAAAATAGTAAGAGGGAGAAAATAAATTCCTATTTAGATCCTAAATTCTAGCATATATTTTTTATTGTCCCATTTTGACCATTTTATTTATGTATTTTTGTTACTAAAAGAAAATGAGGACAAAAAACATAAAAGAAAATTCATAAGGAGAAAACAAAAGAAATGGGGATGGTAAATCTGAATCCTGGGGGTATCTTTCACAATCGGACACCAAGGCCCAGCTATCACAGCCCAAGAGATACATCTTAGTCTGGGACAAAAAACAAAAAGGTCCTTAATATGCTAAAAAAAGAGGTATGGGCCTGATGTGCAATAACCTGCTATTGGGCTTTATGACAGAGCAATAATCCATGGTCCAACAAAGTGAGGATACTTGCCCAATTCCATTGTCCTCCCTCATCTCTCTCGCACCTTAATCTCAGACTAACACCGCCTATAATCGCCTCCAGTCGGTGCTCCTCCGTGAAGAAAAGGACGACGCCAACATTTATGTACCCTCCCTTCTCCCTAAACTCAAACCCTAACCTCGCCTTTCTTGCCTCTAAGATAAAAAACATTTCCTTACGGTATAGATTCAAAATCCTAAGTAACGAACAAAGACAAAGTTAACCGGAAATCATGTTGAATTTGAAGTGAAAACAATAAGGTAATCATTCAGTATGCGTCAAGCTTTCTAATGGCATCAAGAAATGGTAAAACGATAAAGAAATGGAGGAGATTGAGACTTACCTACCGGAGACACTCTGGCGGTGTTCATACACGGTGAAGGCGATAAGAAGACCAGATAATGATTTTCATTAGTGCTGGTATGCGTATTTTACTCGATTTTTTGCTTTCCAATCCTTTCTCAATCTTCTTCCAATTTGATTCTTTTTGTTACGTATTCTTGTTCTTCCTTTTCTAATAAGAGCGGATAACTGAAATACTGAGAACAACAATATTACCGAGAATGCACGATGATCGGTATGAAGTGTTAACGTGCGGTAAGAGTGGGTTGAGGTGTTGCAATGGTTGAAAGATAGTTGAGGAATGAAGATTGCAGAATGAGGGAGGAAGGTTGCAGAATTGAGAAAGAAGATGAAGGTGGAGTGGAAGTGAAATCCAGTGCCCCCCTGCTGAATCCGATATAGGGTATTATATAGGGATGATGAAGAAGAAGTTAGTTACAACTGAAAGTCCCTAGGACATACGATCAAAGGGAATTGGTTAACAGATGAAGGGTTGATATTAAAGGTGGAAGTTAGTTAGAACTTGGCTAACCATTTTTTTTGTTATGGTTATTTTCTATTGCAACTAATTTGAAACTGAATTAGTTTGAATCTGTTATGAATTGGTTTGAAGGTTAGGGAGTTAGTTAGGTAACTCGAATTTTTGTTACAAGCTGTTAGTTGTTAGTGCATTATCCTGATCAGCTCATTTGAATATTAGTTAGACTACCATAATTAATAAATCTGTACAGTAAAAACTGTTAGTAGTTAGGCTAAAAAAACACCACTCTCTATTAGCTCAGAAGGTTTAAAGGAAATGTTAGCTTAGAGTACAAAGCTATTAATAAAAAGCACTAAGAGAAAAAAAATCTTGTTATGCTGTAAGGAAAGTCAACTACAAAATTTCTGAAGTTATATTTGATGGTTAAGACATTAATTGAAAGTTAGTTACTAACTGTTAAAGGCTAGTTAGAGAATCCCTGACATTATCTCTTCTGATTTAAAATTTTGATTTATCGTGAATTCGCTTTTATGAGCTGGAAAATATTTGTCGCAATTCCTGATTTTCTGACTTTTACTATTTTCTGCGATCTCTATCACGTCTTTAGTTCTTCTGCACCTTTCAATGAGATCCAATTCTTACTCAGTATCCTCAATCCTGACCTTAGATTCCAAGGTTTCTTTATCTATACTTGGATCCCACAGTTGTAGAAGATGAATAGCATATTGGTCAATAGGGCACAACTCACTCTCAAATGCTGATAACACATTGCCAGCTGTAGCTGCAGCTTTTGCGATATGATTCACATCTATTAGCATATCAATAAGTGTTTTGGAGGCCATGAGACAGGAGATATGTTTATTCCACCGGAAACTGCTGTTGTTTTAGATCTGTCCTCAAATTTCGTGAACTGTCCAATTTGAGAAGCAGCAAAGTGAGCATAGCAGATTGAAGCAACAAAATATGTGGCAGTAGTGCTCCTCTAAGGTATCTTCCTTTTTGTAATAAAGTTGGCTTGATTTTTTTCATGAATACAGGGCAGTTCATTTGAAAAAGAATTGTTATTATTCTGTCTGAATATATGCAGGGCTGCAAATACTCATGAGCTGATTCTGGATCTGATATTCACTTCTAGCATTTTCTTTCGCTTTATTGGACTTTGGAAAATGGGTGCAAACTACTAAACGATGGAATGACAGATATTGTGTCTGTTACACCTTTCTCTTGCTAAACCATGTGATGCAGGTTGTATGTTTTAAGCTGTCAAAGTGATGATGAAATGTTTCATTTAGGGCATACGCGACAACTTGTGGCTGTTTGAATTTATTTTTGTAATATGAACATGGATTTTTGTGACTGATGCAACAGGTTTTGTGTGTGTTATGTAAGCCTGGTATGGTGCCCTGTTCAATAGTAGGCAAACAGTTTGATGTTTATAGGATTTGTTCCTATTAATGCATCATCCGTTTGGGTCTCTGTTGATTTAGAAGATTAGGATTGGGACTAAATTTCCATGTAAATCTTATAAATGACTTGTGATGTATTTTGTAACTTGAATATTCTTTGAAAGATTTGGATGGATCTTAACTTTTTGGTTTACAGCCTTTGATTTTGCAATGTTGAGACATGATATCATGAATTGGTTTAGAAATTTTAGGTGTAAATGGAAGCAACTTAAGACTTGCGATTGGAGTTGATTAAAATATCCCAAATCAAATCATGAATAAGCTTGAATACAAGAATTTGAATGAAACTTGGAGTTTTTGAATATTAACCCACTTGCCTAACTTGAACCAAAATGAACACTTGAATGAAATTAGGATGAATGAAAATGTCTTTCCCTTTGAATCTTGTTTCTTGCATTTGAAATGAGCCATGAACTATTTCTTGCACTTTAAGAAATTTTGATGTTCTTGATAAATCCCCAACCCCTAACTTCGATTCTCCATAATCAAATTACCTTCCAAATCGGTCCATCAGTCACATTAACTTAAAAACCAATGACTTCACAACAAAATTAATGTCATTGAGAAACCCAAGACTTGTATAGAACACCATAACAAAACTCAAATCCATGCTCCATTTCTTGCAGACTAACCAGAAGAGTTAGAGGTAATCAGCTTTACCAGGCATATACACTTTAATCACTGTGACACCCTTGATATTGCACAACCACCGAACATTGACCCCATGCGCTCTTATTGAAATGCAAAATGTAAGCCATGTTAATGACCTAATGAAAATATATGAATGTGACGCTAAGCCTAAGCTAAATATAAGTGAAATTAGGAGGGAAAATTTTGGGTTGCAACACCTACAACTCAATGCCTACGTATCCCTTTTAAGGAATCAGAGCATCGTAGTTTAGCTTAAAAGTTTCCGTTCGTTTGTTTTTTAATGGATGATGCTAATGTGAACTTCTACTGTCACTCGACTTTTGGAGACTCACGTGATTGTCGTAGAAAGGAATTAACATGTTCTTACCTGAAAAGGTTTTCTTAAAAGAAAGGCCTGGAGGCAGCCCGAAGGCAAAAGGTTTGAATTTGTTTAGTCTTTTATTAGGATAGTAGCAAATGAATCTTGATGGAGGGACATCAACTATTTCTCCGCAAAAGAGTTTGTGAATTGAATCGTAATAAAGTCCAAAAATAGAAGAAAAAAACAAGGTTAGGAATGTACTGCCTCCCTATTCCCCATAAGAATCAACTACATACAATTCACATATTTATTTATTAGATGTTTTGAAGTTTTGATTAATAAAGTGTTTTAATTTTAAGGATGCAAAAGGGGAATGAAAAATATAAGGGAAATTATATTCCTAATGTTATCATACAATGATGGTCCTAAAGTTTAGATTACAAAAAGGGAAAAGCTACCTAGTTTTAGCATGCATGGTTTAAGACCTAATGTATACCTTGATTCAAAGAAGAACCAAGTGAATCTAAGGGAACATACAAATAAAAAACAAGAATGTAAACAACAAAAAGGAATATCTTACAAGCCCACCAAACACCTAATAAGAAAGCAATGATCAAACAAGCCTAAGCCCTAATGCACAAACAAGCCTAATCCCTAATGCACATTTCAAGTCATCAATCAGGTAGCATGAATGTGTCACACAAAAAACACTAATGTTTCTCTAAGAGTCATGCATAAGTGGTTCTACCATAAGGAAATACAAACCAAGTCAAAAGCAGTCAACAACTTCACTAGCATTAAAGGCTTAGAGTGTAAATATAACACTAATGCTTAACATACAATGATAAAAGGACTTAGGCAAGATGGAAGCCTTTACAAGTCAGCAAGAAAATTTAAAACCTCCTGCAAAACATCTCCTAAATATGGGGAAAGAATCACAAAGAAATCATGCAAACATCGTGATCCTAAAGTTTGGATTACAAAGGGGAAAATCTACCTAGTGTTAGCATACAAAGATAGACCTTAGGGAAAGGATAAAAATTTGAAGGGAACATGCAATGAGAGCAAATTTGTGATCTCAATTCTAATTGAGTGACACATCGATCAACAATAAATAAAGGAAAGCAGTATATGCACTGAGAGCGAAGTCGTGATCTAAATTCTAATTGAGTAACTCATTGATCAACAGTAAATAAAACCAATTCCTACACCGTAGGACTTCATATGTAGATGCATGAAAGAGATAAACACAAGTGGTACCTAACGGAGAAGGTTTGTTGCCTCTTCAGAACCACACAAGTGATAAGAAAACTCTACTGAAAACCTCCTTGAATTTCCTTGATGAAGATTAAGCTCTTAATTCACTTTATAAATTCTTGAAACTCTTCAACAATTTTCACACAATAAATTTTATAAAAAAAAATCAATCACCACAATTTTCGAAACAAGTATAGAAAGTGAAACTTCAACAGGGTGTAAAGTTGAATCCATAATGTTGCATGCCAAAATATAAGAACTAGGCCCATTCATGAATGATGTCCAATGCAGATTTTTGCAAATAAAAGGTGCAACCAAAAAAAAAGAACAAGGAATGGGCATCTGGTTCAGCCCCTATAATCACCAAATCCACATATATCTACAACGTTATTATCCAAATACACACAAATTTCTCTGCATTATTTCAATTAAATTTAACAAAATAATTAAGAAAAGGGAAGGAGAAGAGACGATGTCGTTTGGTCCAGAGAAAATGGTTCATAGGTCACGAAAGAGCTCACTCTTCTTCTTTAAACCGGTGCACAACGACGCTTCATCTTTTCCTTGTTTGCGATCTCCGATGATGTTGCCACCGTCACTTCCATCATGGCTCTCAAATCTTATTCTCAGATTCCATTCACTCACAAGTTTCATTCAACCTTCGCCATGAGATATGTTCATAAGTCAGTTCCCAAGCAAATATAGAAGGAAAATAGAAAGAAAAATAAGAAGATCGAAGAACCGTGCACGGTGCTTACCGGCCAGAAATTATCTGACGCGTATTCAATTTGTGACTCAGGTATACGTTTCTGATTCGAGTGGTTCTGTCTATTTCCGATTCTTCTTCTTATTTATACGTTGATGTGTATATGTTGTTATTGCTTGAATCAATTGTGATGTATGAAGTTGTTCGTTGTTGAATTTATAGGTGAGGAATCAATGATGATTGATGAAATTCTCGCTACAAGGGCATGAAGCAAGAGGCGGTGATGATGATTGTAACACCCTGATTTCTTTGAATTATTTTATTTAAAATAATTAGATGACGAGATTTATTTTATATGCGTTGGTGAATCCGGTGTTGTGTTGTTGTGCATTTGTTAGAAAAATTAGATGCCTTAGAAATTATTAGAGTTAAGGGATATGGGTGTATGACAAAAAGTGTAGAAACATAAGAGTGTGAAAACGGGAATAATTTACTAGTATAATTTAATTTATAACATTAGACTTATTATTATAGTATAATAAATTAAATAAGTTATTATAGTAATAAGAGGAAGGGCTTAATTGAAATAGTGATTTAGGGGTCCAATGAATAGATAAGTCAAAACAAGAGGAATAGAAGAGCAAGTTATTTTGATCGATCGTGAAAACGAGAGAAAGATAGAAGCGAGAAAGAGGAAGAGCTAGGAATGGAAGACCCATTGTTGAAGCTTAAGGAATCTACAACCTAGGTAAGGGCGGGATTCCAACTCTCTAATGGATGGTATAATTGTGGGTAGATGAAGATAAGAATGTTAGGGTTTTGGGTGTAGACGATTTTGTTAAAATAATTGATATAATTGATTGAAGTTGGTGAAATTAATGTGATGATATCATTAGAATTCTTGTGTATAATGTGTGTTGATGATCACATGAATTTACAGGTTTCAGTGTCTGTATAAAAGTGATTTTGGGTGAAAAAGGTTAAAATTTCGTAGCAGGAAAAATAACACATTTTTGACTCTGTACGTAGTGTAACCGGGTACAACATATGAGGTAACCGGTTACTTATGTAATTTTGGGGAAAATTGGGCAAAACGTGAAGGTGTAATCAGTTACTGCATATGTGATAATCGGTTACCCAATTGACAGTAGCTTGTATTTTTGAATTTCAGGGTGTAATCGGTTACCCCATATGCAGTAACCGGTTACCACTGAAGCTGACAGATTTTTACAAACTTTAAAAATTAATAACGTTTGACTCGGATGTTCGTTTGACGCACCGTTTGGACCATTGGATAGTTAAAAATATTTTCTACAATATGATAATAACTTTAATAACAATATGTGTATTATTTAGGGTTGGAGGCTTATGCCTTGGGTGTCAGTGTTAGATAGATTGAGGAGTATTCGTGATAATTGAACATGATAAATTCTGCAAATGTGTACGAATGGACAACATGTTATATTAATGGATAATGATGATGTTATTGGCCTGGATTGGCGTAAGATTGAGAGCTTATGCTCTGTTGTTTTACAATTAATGTTGATTGCATAATGATGATGATGTTGTCGTTGGCCCAGATTGGTTTTTATGTTAAGTGTATTTCCTTATAGTTGTATAATATTGTTGTTGCATGTTAGTGTTGCATACATGCATCATTGAAAACCCAGATTTGGCTTATGTTGTTGGCTCAAATTTGGTTGTATGTTGATATCCCGGATTTAGCTTATGTTGTGGGCCCGGATTTGGCCGTATGTTGATAGCTCGAATTTGATTTTATGGAGATGGCTTATGCCCTGATGGTACCATATGCCTCATGCATCGAAGTCAGTTGTATTGCATTTTGATTGAATTGGTTATGTAATTGATGGTTGTTGAGCTTGAAATCTTGCATGATATATTTGTCGTATACTTATGATTATATAACTTATTATATTATTGTGATATCTCACTTATTTTGTTAGAATGTTGCCTCTATGTGGGTAACATGCATATAACCAAGAGCAATATGAGTTGCAGAGTCTAGAAGAGGTTGCTCTTCTTATTTTTGAGTCGGTGCCAGTGTTCTGATACGTAACACCGGGGAGATGAATCCTTACGTATGTTGTTATTTCGTTGTTTTATTTTGGTAATTGTGTTGAAGTATTATGAACTCCCTTTTTTTGGTTAAATTTTTTTTAATGTTAGTTTAGGAAGTTTAAATGACAAACTTGAATTCTTTCCGCTGCGTCAATAAAGTTGAAATTGAGAACTTTGTTGAAAAGTGTTGTCGGTTCATCCGAAAAACATGTTATGTATCTGTTTATTTATACTTGAGCAGGTTTTTGATGTGTTGAAAAATGTGGCATCCTATTCTTGATGTTTCTTTTATGAATTAATTTACTCTGATTTTTCATTAAATTATCGTTGGAGAAATATGGTGTTACATTAGTGGTATTAGAGCAAATCGGTCCGTCCGGCTAAGTTGTCGACTCTGTAGTGTGAATGTTGAATATTGTCGTTGTTTTGTTCCTTAGTGTTGTACCCCAAAATTTGCCCTCCCATATTTCTCAAAACATCTCAAGAAAAATTCACAAGTCCAACCCGGCGTGTTATATTCAGGTGTTCTTTCGCCAAGATATCTCTGATAACATATTCTCAAAATTCAGGTTCGGCTCAAGAGTCAATTCTTTAAAGAAGGTATCCGAATGCGTGAGTTTTCTCGAAGAAATATGGTGAAAAAGTGTGCTGAAAGTGCAGTTTTTACGCGCTAAAAAATTCATAACTTGAAGATCGTGACTCGTTTTGAACCCGTTCCGGTGGCCTAAATTCCGTCTTGACATTATCTACGTTTTCATCTCTCACGGCTGGAAGCCAATTTCGATCAGAAGGTCTTCAAAAATGTGGATTTATCAAGTATTTTCATACAGAAAATTTGTGACAGAAGTTTATTTGCGTCATGTTCAGAAAATCATAACTTGGCCGATTTTCATCGTATCGAGCTGGTTCTGGCGCCAAAATTTCACAAATTGAGTTGGCTACATTTTCACAGAAGGTATTAAGTTCAAACGGTATTCAAAAGGCCTTCGTTTTTTGCTCAGAGTGCGTGACACGCTGAAAATCCTGAATGCTGAATATTATTTCATCTGGGCCGAAACTTCGAAAATTCATAACCCGGTCAATTTTTATCGGATTGGACTCATATTTTTACACAAGGTCCCTGACTCATAGATCTACAACTTTTCTTCAAAAGTCGAGACCAAATTATGCACCGATCAATACCAGTTTTTTATTGAAGAACGTGTCATAGTCGACACTGGAGCCCAAAATAAGTTTGTCTGAGCTGAAACTTCAAAAATTCATAACTAATTCACCGTTTATCTGATTGAGTCGATTTTCAGACAGGAGTTAGTTCTCGATGTCGGCTACATTTTTTTTTCACATTTCAACTTCAAAAATTGCACTTAAGTCCCTGCGATTTAGCCTTGAAAGTGACGAACTCAAGTGAACATTGGAGGCCCAATTGCACATTCAAAGCCCTTTTTCTTTACCCTAATTTTCATTATATAATCACCTTCTTTTCACACAAACCGGGGAGGAGGAAAAGAGAGAAAAAAACCTTGCCACAACACTGTTAGAATATCAAATTCTTTCAAGAACCCTAAAATCTTGAAATCCTTATTACAAATCCCTCTCTCACTACAAACAAGCCATCTCAGTTACAAACCAACATCTTATTACTTCTTCAGTAAGGGTAAGGATGGCTTGATCTCCATGATCCTAATTTTCCAGTAAGGCATAAAAGCATTCAGGCCACTGATTTTCCAGTAAGGGTAAGATTGATTTGATCTCCATGATCAAAAGGGTATAATCATTCATACATGCCATATTGTGCCTAAACATTAAATTTCTTCATATATTGGCTTTATTTGCATTTTATGATTTTATTTAATGTGTTCGTGAGATTCAACTGCAGATTTAGACAGGATCCCAGGTTCATTAAGGAACTTTGAGGCCAAAAGCCAAATGGCCAAAAGCCAAATGGCCAAAGTAGAAAAACTTATGCATGACACCAATACATGGCGAGACAGACATCCTTCGAAGATTAAGGATGAATTTTTTTTATTAATAACCATGTATTAAAAAAATATTTCGCAAATAACCGGGTTTCGGAAAAAATTACGCAAATAACCATGTTTCAGATGGCTCCACAAAGGAGGAGCCATCTCATTTGGCGCATGCACCTAGGGTTTTGCCCTAGGCGCCATCTCACTTGGCGCCTCCCTTGGCTTTTAGCCAAGTGAGATGGCGCATGCTCCTTAAAAAGGAGAGGATGCGCCATCTCACTTGGCGCCTAGGACAAAACTAGGGTTTTTTGCTGTTTTATAAATAATTCGTCCGTTTCTTTGAAATTTCTCACACTTTCTCGCACTGTATTTTTATTTTGTACTCCCTTATTTACGTAATGAAGTCGCCTATGATTTTTAGCAGAGATGGTTACGTTATATTCTCCGCCACGAAACCTGCGATGAAAATGAAATTCTGGCACATTCACTCCATGGAGCGTCTGAAGCGGGAGTTGATGCGGTGGCTAGATGGAGACATCGCCGAGGGGGAAAAAATTCGAAGGATCCAGCGAAAACGAACAACAACCTCGCATGCGACAGGAAGACCTAATGTGTGGTTGAAGGAAGTCAAAACAGACAGTGATGTAATGCTGATGATGCATGGGTCAGATGAAATTGTGTTAACAGTTGTAATTTCCTAGATTGAATATCGTTAATCATTGTTGTACGCGAAAACCCTAATGTAATTTCCTATATTGAATTTCTTAAATTGTGTGAACAGTTTTATTAACGGAAAACCCATAATGTTTACAACACAAATATTGAAAAGATTTATTGTATTACAAAATTTATGTGGTCGAGCCAGACGCCCGATTCAGACAGTTTTTGCGATTGTGTCCGACCTGACGGCATAAACCA